TCCATCAATGGAGCCATGTAGATTAGGCTGATCGGCAAAGGGAAATGAAGCCACGATTTAAATAATCGCGGCTTCATTTAAATTTAAATGGCCGCCACGCTGAGCCAACAAACAGCTGATCAGCTGTTTGTCGGCTCAGCGCGGCAGCCATTTAAATTTAAATGAAGCCGCGACTATTTAAATCGTGGCTCCATTTCCCTTTGCCGAACAAACAAATCTACATGGCTCCATTGATGGAGCCATGTAGTTTAGACATACCCTCCTAGTGCAAATACACTCTTTTTACATGTTTTAAAAATGTGTTTCCCCTCAGAAATTCAATCCTGAGAGTCAAGGTGAGTTACTAGTGGCTTGCATGGTTATTTAGTTATCAATTTCAAGATTTTTGAATCTGACCAAGGATCTGAGGTGGTTACATTTTGCAGCAGCCAACATTTCAGAAAGTTTAAGATGAAAGCTGCTATTTCCCAAATCATGATTCACTTTTAAACATCTTGGTCAAGGATTCTGCAGGGCAAATTTTGCTGTCAGTGACACCAGCGTTCCAATTCTGTCCTAAATGACATCTGTGCAAAACTCACTGTCTTCGCATTTTGCCATCACTGTTACCCATGAAAGCATGTGCATGCCTCTAGAATAATAGAATTGTAAAATCCTAGAACTGGAAAGGACCATGAAAGGTCATTGAGTCCAATTGCCTGCCCTCACAGCAGGACCAGGCACCATCTAGATCATCCCTGATAGGTGTCTATCTAACTTGCTTTTAAATATCTCCAGCGATGGAGATTCCACAACCTCCCTGGGCAATTTATTCCAGTGTTTAATCACCCTGACAGTTAGGAAGTTTTATCCTAATGTCCAACCTACACCTCCCTTGCTGCAATTTAAGCCCATTGGTTCTTGTCCAATCCTCAGAGGCCAAGGAGAACAATTTTTCTCCCCCCTCCTTGTTACACCCATTTAGATACTTGAAAATGGCTAGTATGTCCTCTTTCAGTCTTCTCTTTTCCAAACTAAACAAGCCCAATTCCTTCAGTCTTCCCTCACAGATCATGTTTTCTAGACCTTTAATCATTTTTGTTGCTCTTCTCTGGACCTTCTCCAATTTCTCCACATTTTTCTTGAAATGTGATACTCAAAACTAGTCACAATACTCCAGCGCCTAATCAGCGCAGAGTAGAGATAAAAAATTCCTTCATGTGTCTTGCTCACAACACGTTTTTAATGCATCCCCAAATCATTTTTATTAAACTTCATCCGATTTCCCTTTTCCGGAAAAGGGGTGCAGTGTAGACACAGCCCATTTGGGGTCTAATCAGCGCAGAATAATGTGGAAGAATCACCTCTCGTGTCTTGCTTTCAACACTCCTGTTAATGTATCCCAGAATCACATTTGCTTTTTTTTGTAACAGTATCACACTGTTGACTCATATTTAGCCTGTGGTCCACTATGACCTGTAAATCCCTTTCAGCAGTACTCCTTCCTAGACAATCACTTCCCATTCTGTGTGTATGAAACTGATTGTTCCTTCCTAAGTGGAGCACTTTGCATTTTTCCTTATTAAACTTCATCCTGTTTATCTCAGACCATTTCTCTAGTTTGTCCGGATCATTTTGAATTTTGACCTTGTCCTCCAAAGCACTTGCAACCTCTCCCAGCTTGGTATCATCTACAAACTTAATAAGCATACTCTCTATGGGTATGTCTACACTTGCAGCCTATTTCGGAATAGGGCTGCAAATGTAGGCATTTGGAATTGCAAATCAAGCCCGGGATTTAAATATCTTGCGCTTGATTTGCATCTTCCCAGCCGGGCGCCAGTGAAATGGGCGTTTGAAATAAACCCCTATTTCTAACTACCTGTTATTCCTCCTGCAATGAGGTTTAACAGGTAGTTCGAAATAGGGCTTTATTTCACTGCCGCATATAGATGCAGGCAATTATTCCGGGCTAGTAAATTTCAAAAATTGGGGCAAGGGAACACACTGAGATTCTCTATTAATAAGTTATTAACACTCTCCCTCCCCAGCTTGGATAATCAGAGGTAAGTCTGACTCTCAGTGTACGTCCACAGTGTATGCTTATTTCGGAATAAGCTATTCCGGAAGATATATTCCAAAATAGCTTATTTCGAAATAGAACCTCTACACTACAGGGAAGCCTCAAAATTAGTCCAAGGCAGGTTCCCGTAATGTGGATGCGCTATCTCGATTTAGAGCCCCAGGAATCACTGGAGAGAAATGACCTAGAATGGCCCTGAGAAGGAGCTATTTTGAAATGCAGCACTGGAGCATCCACACTGCAGCTATTTCAAACTAGCTATTTTGGAGGAGGAGTATTCCTCATGGAATGAAGTTTATAGAAGTCAGACTAAGCCTCTCGTTATTTTGATATTATTTCAAAATAACCGAATTGCCGTGTAGATGCTTGCATGGTTATTTCGGAACAATGCTATTTATTCCAAAATAACGGTGCAGTATAGATGCACCCACAGTTACGACTAAGGTAGGGAGCCAGCATTGTCTAAACCCGCAATGGGCAGGACTAGTGAGTGGGCTGCATGAGAGGCCCTGCTTCATCTCAGTGGGCTGCAAGATTGAAATCCAGTGGTGGGCAGCCAGCAGGCCATTGGGGTTCCACCTGCAGCCGACGCACCCCCTCTCAGCTCCCTTTCCCCAGGCCTGTCATGCACTCAGACTTACCTACACCTCCCGCTCCCTTCCAGCATTTTTGGAGCTCCATGATTCAGCTGATTTGTGCTCCATCCCCGATTCTCCCCTGCCCTCACAGAGCTTGAATGCCATGAATCAGACAACCAGTACTCCAGAAGTGCTGGGAGGGTGAGGGAGGAGTAGATAAGTGCAGTGCTCCAGTGCACCAATACACAAGGGGTGTGGGGTAAGAGGGCAGAGGGGTGTGTGCAGGCCACAGGTTACCCACCTGTGGTCTAAACCAATACAGTAGCCATTAGAGAACTATGTTCTAGTGATAGGAGTACAGGACTGTAACTCAGAACACCTGGGTTCTGCCACTGGGCAATCTGGGGCAAGCCACCGCACATCCCATACCTCAGTTTCCCTATTTGTGATATGGAGATATAATGAGTTATATTTGCTTCCTTTGCTAAGTCCTTTGAAATGTATTGATGAATAGTGTGATCCCAAGGCTAGTTTGCTTTTGTTTTCTTTCTCTGCAGCTAAAATAAACATCATTTGGGGTATGTCTATATGGCAGAGCTATTTCGGGGTACCAGAAGTATCCTGAAATAGCTATTCTGTGTCTATAGATTTTAAAATAACGGGTGGCTTATTCCAATGTCCAGGTAACCCTTGTTCCAAAAGGGTTAAGGGGCATTTTAGAATCACGAGTTATTTCAAAATTTGGCACTGTGTAGACAGTGGCAAATTACAAAATAAGCTAGCTCGAAATAGCATCAAAATAAGCCATGCAATTTGCATAGTGCAAATTGCGTAGCTTATTTCAAGCTAAGGGTGCTGTGTAGACACACCCTTAGGCTATTTCTAGACTGCAGAGTTTTTCAGGATACTGGAGGTATCCAGGGAACACGTCCGCTTTTTTGGAACAGTTTCTGAAAAAGCGGGTGCATTCTTTTGGCATCCCTGTATTCCTCATTGTATGAGGAATAAGGGATGTTCTGATAGAGGAGGTTTTTCCAACATTTGGCCCCATGTAGACGGGCCAAATATCAGAAAAACCTCTTCTGAAAAAACAAGTGGAAAAAGATACGCCAATTGCAGTTTGCAATTGGCGTATCTTTTTCCAACCCCCTCGGCAGTGTAGACATAGCCTTAGACTGAAAAAGTGCATGGTTTGACTGAGAGTTTGGGTGAAAAAAAATGTAACAATGTGACGTCTTAGAGAAGAAAACCACCATTTATTTTCTCACATTTTTTACAGAATAATCATACAACAGTTGTCTGTGTAACATTTAATACAATTTTTTAAAAAAACCCATAAAGATTACTTGCAAAATTATATATATTTTAATATCCAAAAATACATTGCATATATATAATAGCAAAAGCCCATTGCCATGGGGGAAATTTTTAATATATTTTTTTAAAAATTGTGATTATTGCAGTAAGGTTACCTATAAACATTCCAAAAGCACTAAGACTTAAACTGATTAGCTTGATCTCATTTTTGCTTTTTGTTAAATAATGGCATCAGTGCTTCTGTTTAAAGTTCTGACCAAACAATAATGTTCTGTTTTAAGGTCCCAATTCTGCAAGCAGATTCACGTGGGCTAAATCTTGCACTGACATAGCATTCAGAGGTTATGTCTAGACGAGGTGTTTCTGCTCATGTTAAAAGATTGCAGTTCATTTCAAATTAGCTACTAGACTTGTAAATCTCAGTCTAAAACCCCTATAAACATTTGTTCCAAGACCTTCATTTTTCTGTCCTAAAATGACCTTTCCTGGATTATGAAGGCGAGTTTCACAAATTAGAGATAGTGGAAAATTTTCAAATGTTTGAAATGTCGAGGAAAATGTTCTGCAAAAGTTGTTCATTTGGGGTAGGGAGCAGAAAGAAGAGGAATGTTGCTGATTTTTATCCAGCTTTATAGACTAGCAAAATGTTTGAAAAACTCAAAATTGTGATGGAAAATTGTGGTAAAAAATTTGGAAAATTATGGTGTTTTTTTCAACCACCTTGAATGCAAGCATGATGGCTAACTTGTGTTAATTAGCAATCAATGAACTCAAGCTAAAACAGGAGCACAACAACTGTGCTCTAGACACGTCCAGTGAGCTCAGAGGTATTCTACGCGAGTACATGAAAGAAATCTGCCAGAATCTGGTTTTGGGATCAGGGCTCTATTCCCAACAGATACATTGCATGTATCTTATTTTATTTTTTAGCAAAAAAGTACAAAGATACAGCCCAAATGTACAGATTGAAAAGATGTACAAATTACATTTAAAAAACCAAACAAAAATCCAGACAGAAGATGTACAAATTACATTTAAAAAACCAAACAATAATCCAGACAGACAACAACATAAAAAACCCACAAACAACTGATTTGTTAGTAAAAATAACCTGCATTTTGTGACTGAGGTCAACTCGTTTATTTACTCTTTCTTTTAATATTGTGAGATATAGGGAAAAATAACTCTGCATAACTTATACAGTAAGTTGCCTTCTGATTAGCTGACCCTTAGAATGACGGTCTGACAAACGCGCAGCGTTCGCGAATCGGTAGCGCTTAGCGATCCCGAAAGCTTTGGCAGAGCTCTAGGACCTGCTGTCGTTTATTTTATTTCAGTTTTGCTTTCAAGGAATGTCTGTGCTTGATGTTAGGTTACTTTCTATTGTTCTGGTCTCAGATGTTTCTGGAGTTAATACATAGTCCAACACAAGTTGCACACTTTAGAAAGATTCCTTCAATGCCCTTTACTTCTTTATATATAAATTTCCAGTTGGGTGAAAAACCTCATTGGCCTTAATTAAAACTAAGATTCCAGTTGCCATTCCCTGTAGCCTCAGGTCCTCACAACATAATATCTGAATCTTCCATCCCTTCCTTGATCCCAGAAAAAACCACCAAAACACATGTTCATCCTAAGTCCCTGTTAAACAAACATAGTATTCTTCTATAGCCTACGGTTGGATCTATGTCTTGCCAGGAGACTTCAGACTGCTAATTTTTTGCCTTTCTCATAAAAATTCAAATACTGGTACTCATTCCAGGTTGTGGTGAGTCATCTTCATGGACAAATCCTATAGAGGACATAAGACTTAGAACCAAAACAAAAACACAGAGTACTGGCCTGCAGAGGTATCCCATCTCCTAGTTCAAGGCAGAAGAGGCAAAATTACAAAAAAAAAAGAAAAAAAAAAAGAGGTTTGATCCAAGAATAACTAATATCCAGTTTTTATTCCCCACCCCCAACAACGGCCACAAAATATCCCAAAAGGTCCAAAAATCCCAGAAGTAAAGTGAGCATCCAAACAAGTTGATAAAAACATCTAGTAGTAGCTGCCCAAGTGTGATGGTACGTGAGTGCTGGGATGGCGCGGGACGTTGTGATTTGGGTAGATACTGCCTGTAGGAGAGGTCCAATAGGATGCTGCTGCTCCGAAGAAACTGGATGATGTGACAGGCATAGGGGAAGCATGGGGGGGCACAAAGTTCACCTTCTGTTGGTGGGTGTGGTAAGAAGGCATATAGGAAAGATCTGCTTGATACTTGTACATCGAAGACTCAGTTGGATGAGGCTGGAGAGCCTGGGCAATGCCATGAAAGTCAAATTTGTAGGCATACCTTTTGCCGTGCACTTTGGTCATAATGTTCTTATCGTAGTAGTATCGGAGGGCTCGGCTCAGCTTGTCGTAATTCATGTTGGGCTTGCTCTTGCGCTCTCCCCAGCGCCTGGCCACCTCATCGGGATCCGTCATCTTGAACTCCCCGTTGGTTCCCTCCCACGTGATGCAGCTGGCATTGGAACTGTCCGACAGCAACTCAAGGAGGAACTGCCACAGCTGGATCTGTCCACTCCCTGCATGGAGTGAGCCAAAGAGAAAAGGAAATGACATTTCATTTCCTGCTTATGCAAAAAGACAAAGCCAGGAAACAGAGGGACTATCTCAATCTTTGGTGGGATCATTTCCTTCAAGCCTTATAAACTCTTGTGGAGGGCTGGCCCAGCAAACAAGTCACTCAGCCTCTGCTTCTGTTTGAGGTCAGGATCGCTGACCAGAAAGGTCCCCTCTGGCCTTAAAATCTATGAATCATTTGTAAACATGCTTTTTACTAAGATGGTCATTATTCAGAGTTATTGATGGAATAGCTGACAAAAGCATATTTCAGCCCCAGGTTACTCACTGTTTTCATAACTATTGCTATGAACACTGCAGTTCATAATTTGCTATGTGCTGCCTTGTGACTGGTCACCTAAATCACAGTATTATTTCTTCTCTCAGACCAAATGATTCCTACACACTTTCAATATGACTTTACTAACACTTTAAAAGCAACGAGTAGTCCTGTGGCATCTTAGGGTACGTCTACACTAGCCCCCTAGTTCGAACTAGAGAGGCTAATGAGAGTGACCGAAATTGCTAATGAAGCGCGGGATTTAAATATCCCGCACTTGATTAGCATATTACCGTCTGGTCGCCATTTTGGAAACTGACTAACCCGAAGTAACTACCCGCGTCTACATGCGACAGAGAAGCACGAATCCGAGATAAACCTCTTAGTTCGAATTAACAGTTAAACCTCATTTCATGTTAAACCTCATCATTAACAGTTACATGTCATAATTAACAGTTAAACCTCATTCCATTCCATGAGGTTTAACTGTTAATTCGAACTAAGGGGTTTATCTCGGAATCGCGCTTCTCTGTCGCGTGTAGATGCAGGCAGTTACTTCGGGCTAGTCAGTTTCCAAAATGGCGACCAGCTGGGAATATGCTAATCAAGCGAGGGATATTTAAATCCCACGCTTCATTAGCAGTTTGGGTTGCCCTCATTAGCCTCCCTAGTTCGAACTAGGAGGCTAGTGTAGATGTCCCCCTAGAGACTAACCAAAATATACAGAATCATGAGCTTTCATGGGCAAAACCCACTTCATCAGATGAATTGGAGTGGAAATAACAGAAAAGAAGATATATATAACAGCAGAAAAAGTACCTGTCAATTGTAGCACCCGTGTTAATGAGGCTAATTAAGTGGGCTGGATGTGTCCCATAAATAGCCATAGGACTACTAATTTTTTAAAGTTACAGACTACCACGGCTACATCTCTGAGACATCCTGTAACGAGATGCATGAAAATCCATTTTCACGTAAGCATTCAACACCTTCTCCCTCTGCAAACAGAACATGAGTGTGTGCAAATGTAACTCACATTAATGCCAAGGTGGGACTTTGTCCCCCTCTCATGACTGGCCTATGTGAAGAGGGCCATGGGATTGCAACATTTTCAGTGGTAATGGACCTCATTCATTAGCTGAAGCAAGAGATTCTTATGCTTTTGCTGTGATTACCAGAAGTCTGGTACGTTGATTTCCTGTCAACGACTGGATTGGGGGTCATTATGTAAGCACAGCACAAGTCTGCAAAGTGTTTCCACATAGACCATCTAAGAACTTAAGCAATGTTGGTCTCCTGCTCAAGTGATTGAGCTCTGTGGCATAGTATGAAAGATTCTGAGTTCAAATCTGGTTAGCTGCATTGAGGAAGAGGGGTAGAATGCTTGTGATGGGCAACTTTATGTGGGGTCCTTCATTACTTGCGTCCAGACTGAGACTATTTGGCACTATCCACACAGCTTTAATCATTCATACTCCTTGTATCATTTGCCCGCCTTGGCCTTATAAAAGTGAAATGTCACTCCTGGGGAAGACAGGTCAAGGCCCTTCTTACTATCTTAGGGTATGTCTACACTACCCTCCTAGTTCGAACTAGGAGGGTAGTGTAGACATACCCTCATAGACCTTATAATCAGGGAAGGATGGGGGCCATGACAAAGAGACTTAAAGTTGAGGTATAAAGTATGAGGGAATATTTGAAACCAATTGTTCACATCTGTACCTTGATATTAGGTTTTCACATCTATTAAATATTGAACTGAACTTTTCTTTAAAAATATAGCCTATCAACTGAATTGAGATGAAAGATAAAAATGTGAATAATTTTAAAATAAGTGGCCAGCCATGATTAATTCATTTGGTGCTCATTATAGTAACATTAATCATGATTAATGCATTGGGTAATACTATAGACTTTCACTGGAAATCTGGCTTGCAAGAAAAATAACTGGCTACTTAAGACTTGACCTATTCTCCCTTGTTCCTCAGTCTTTTAGAAGTGATGGCCAGGGGGAAATGGATCATTCAGGTGGTTGGCAAAGGAACATGGTGCTTTTTATTGGTAGTGTAGACATACCCTAAGACCCATGGTGGGGCTGCATAAGGATGATGATGAAGAAACCCTCCACACCCACAGATGATGAAGAAACCCTCCACACCAGCTGCCATGCTGAGCACAGAGGGAAGGGCAGATGTGGGATCCACTGCTATTCAACCCAGTGGCCCATATATTCTACACAAGAGGCAGAGGGGCTAAAGCACCGTCCGGAGCAGTGGCTCATGTGAAAATTGCCCCTTTAAACAGGAGATGGAGTTTGTCTTCGGGATGGTGGGCTGGAATTCCAAACTGAACTCACCAGGATTGGCGAGGCGGCTGCTGGTGGGTCCCAGGATTTGATAGGGATCTAAATGAAGGGACAATAATTATTTTCTTTCATTTACTGCACAAAAAGAAACAAAGCGCTTCTCTATTTTCATTAACCAGGATAACCCCATTTTTCTTTCCTTTTTTACACTGCCACTCCCTCCCACAAATCAGTCTCTTCTGTTGTTTAATGAACAGCCACATTCTTTAAGGAGAGTTTAAGAATGTAGAACGTCCCGCTTTTTAAGTTTAAAAACCCCACTGGGCACATGCCATGGCTCCAGCAGTTGGCTGCATGAAAACATAACATCAGGCCGGCATAACACTGCTGGGCCAGATCTAATACATTTGCTTTCCTGTGAGCAGTTGGGTGACTTGTGTAAGTATGCCTCATTTTCTAGTTGGGACGATTATTTCCTCTTCTTGGGTGTGTCTAAACGACACCCCTCTGCCGACAGAGGGATGTAGATTAGGCACATAGCTACTGCAAATGAAGCGGGGATTTAAATATCCTGCTCTTCATTTGAATAGAAATGGCCGCCGCTTTTTGCCGACGTGGCACTTTGCCGGCAAAAAGCGGCAGTCTAGATGGAGATTGGTCGACAAAGAAAGCTTTTTCCAACTGATCCTGTAAACCTCGTTGCTCGTTGTAAACCTCGTTTCTGACCGATCCTGTAAGCCCTGCCGGCAGAGGGGTGTAGTTTAGACACACCCCTTGTGTGTAGATGGGATTTTCAAAAACACTCCAATGTGAGCTCAGCTCTGGTCCCAGTAATGTCAGTGGAGCATTGGTCCAACTCAGCTCTGATTAAAGTCAATTGGTGTCTTGCTTCTGATGCTAACAGGAGTAGAATGAGGCTCATGCTGAGTGCTTTTTCGAAATCCCATCATGCATTTCTTAGGAATGAATCTTCCCTCTTTTCCTGGAGTCCCACTGCTGTAATCTCATCCACTCCCCTTCATTGTCCTTCAGATTATGGTGTTGGCTCATGGCTGAATTTACACCTTAAGAAAGGCAGCTACAGAGCAGCTGTGCAGAGCACCGAGAAGCTGTTGTTTTGCTGGGAAACCCAAGCAAGAAGTATCACCCTTTGAAGAAGATGTGATGTTGACTTTGTTGGAGATTCTCCCAATGTATATGTGCAGGGAGGGGGAGGGTTAGAATTCAGCCCTTGAACCCTTCCCCAATGTGTGACACTAAGGATTTTGAACCCTGCACATGTGTCAAAGCTGATACAGGGATATCTCTTAAATGGGGTGGAGGGAGTGCCCATAAGCAGACAGAAGAAAGTAGCTTTGGATAAGCATTGTTGGTGGATGAGCACAACTGACTGAGAATTACTCCTCCTTATAAGTGCTTGTGCCCACTTAACTTCAGCCTAAGACTATCCCTGCTTGAGACATTATAATATCAGGGTGGGACATGCAGTTGTTGATGGGATACAACTGGGCACACATTTACCTGGTTGGGGCCTTTGCTGTTCTGTATTCTTATTCACAGTTTGAGTCCCTGCCACCGGGGGACCTGTAATAGGGAGATTTAGATCTTAGCTGTACTGCAAACAGAGAAGATGGAACAAGGAGGATACAATGCATAGATCCGTGGGGTCCAACACACTAGCCACTTGTGGCTATTTGGCCAGTTGAGTGTGGCTAGTTTGCTATAGCGAACTATAGTTTCAGAACTGGTTGGGTAACATGAGGAGTATAGATGAACATGACCAAACCAGTAGAGATGGAGAGTAAACAGTTTTGTGTCACACGGAAATTACTGAATTTTCATAAATATTTCCTATTGTGGAAATATAATCAAAATTTTCATCAATGGAAAGCTTGTAAAGAATTTTGAATAAGGTCAAGATAAATGCTTCATCCTGACCCACTGAAATTCTTTTTTACTCTCTATTAACCTACATTTTAAAACCAACAGTGGCTGTGAACTGAAAAATGGATTTTTTTTTTGTTTAAAAAATGGTAAAATATTTCAACAATTTCTAAACTTTTTTTTTTAAATGGGAAATTTACCAAACTCAACCTTGACCACAATTTTGGTTTTCTGATTTGAAAAAATAGTTTGGTAAAAAAAAAAAAAAATCCCAACCAGTACCATACATCAGTTCGACCTTAGCACTGATTTCAGATCCCCGATGATTTCAGAGATAACGAACCCCAGTTGAATAGTATCTTGCTCAGGGACAACTTGTAACCAGAGGACACATGACTCCAGTGAAAGAAGATAAAAATTACAAGAGCTAGCAATCCACTTCTTTCAGGGCACAAACCTACCAGTTATGGGCAGCGGGAAATCTGGCCCCCACCTCAGAGAATTGCATAAATATATGCATTATGAAAATAATTAACAACCAAAATAATTTGCACTGATGACTTCGTACTTTAAGGATCACAGTCTGCTACTCTTTTGCATGTTGAGTGGCATCTTTCTCCTTTGTGCAGAAGTAAGGTATTAGAGTGATGCATTAGATAATTGTATCTGAATTTGGCCCAACGTCAGGATGGCCACATCTGGCTGTAATGCATTAGGTCTCACAAAAGTTTGGATGCCAGGACAAACAGCAAAACAAACTTATCCCAATTCATGATCATCTTCTGAGCCTCCACATCAGAATTTAACACTTCCACCACAGCTACTTACTTTTGGTGATGCTGGAGTTCATGTTATTGCCCCATCCTGCTCTCCGGACTGTGTCGTAGGAGGGATCTAATGACAAATGACAAGAGAAAAGAAGGGGAGAGTTCAGACTATTCCAGGATGGCTAGACAGGTGGTTAGTGGTGATTATTGCTTCAGAAATTACACACATACTATTGTTACCTTGTTTTCATGCCCAGGACTTCATCGCTGTGTCTATACTGGGACACTTATTCCGGAAAAGCAGCCGCTTTTCTGGAATAACTTGCCAGCTGTCTACACTGGCCGCTTGCTTTTTCGGAAAAGCAATGACGATCTACTGTAAAATTGTCAGTGTTTTTCTGCAAAAACTATGCTGCTCCCGTTCGGGCAAAAGTCCTTTTCCGGAAAAACTGTTCCGGAAAAGGGCCAGTATAGACAGCCCAGTAGTCTTTTCCGCAAAAAAGCCCCGATCGCGAAAATGACGATCGGGGCTTTTTTCCGGAAAAGCTCATCTAGATTGGCCACGGACGCTTTTCCGGAAAAAGTGCTTTTCCGGAAAAGCATCCTGCCAATGTAGATGCACTTTTTCCGGAAGTACTTATAACGGAAAACTGTTCCGTTTTAAGCATTTCCGGAAAAGGGTGCCAGTTTAGATGTAGCCCATGTGTTTCATCCACCTGTTAGGTATTGTTCATGACAACCTTGGGATGGGGGCCTGTCATTTTTGATAGGCCTGGCACAATGGGAGCCTGACCTGTCTGAGCTGTGGGCACAGCCACAATATGAGTATTAAGTAATAAGGCCTGGCATGGGCACTTTTGGGAGACATCATGCAGGGGTTGGCTGGCAGAGGGTGGGAACTGGCTGGGGTGAGCCTTGGCTGCCATCCCCTCTCCACCCAGATGGTAGTAGCATGCACCAGGCCTGTTCTTGACTCCTACACAAGTTGGCGACGGAGGGCAGGGAGGAAAACAAAAGCATTGAGTGCCCTTACTCTGCTCTGTAAACCCATGCCAGTGTCAGGCACCACCTGCTCCCCTGGGAACAAACAGGATGGACTAAGGCTAAATGTAAACCCTAAAATTTGAGTTCCTATCTAGTCAGAATTTGCCTTTTAGCTGCCCGCCACCCTCCCAAATATTTGTGCCTTTTTTCCACTCCAGAGCCTTGCTCATCCTCCTGGCCCTTCCTGAGGCAACCACAAGGTGTGTCTTGCAAAGCCGCTTCCTCCTCTCTCCCACTGCTTCTTCTGCCCCCCCGGGATTGTGGGGTGAGGATCCCAAGGAGTCAGCCTTAAGAGCTGGTAAATATCCGGAAACAGAGGAACTGTTCATGGTCTGGGAGAGGTTGGATGGAAAGGTAAGGTCACAATGAAGATGAGGAAAACCATCCTGATGGGGAGATGCACTGGGCTTCTAAGGGGAATGGTGGAAACCCATTTGCCTTAACAGCTGGACTGAGTAATGTCCCAGAAAATCTAGGTCTCTGCAGGGCAACGAACTAGATGACATGGTAGAGTAGCAGCCATTTAAAAAGTCAACATTTCCAAGATCCTATTGCTGCCTGGAGTATCTGAGATGCCATAGTTATTTCCTTACTCTGAGAAGAAAGAACCTTGCTCAACACTTTGTGGTGGCCACGGGAAGTCTTCTCTGTCTCTTGCTTCTATGCATCATGGGCAGTTTAGTTATGGGCCCCACTCCACAGTGGGTGTCAATTAGTGTAGCTCCATGCTAATTGACATCAAGTGAGGATCTGGCCTGTGAATAATTTGGAAGCTGCAGGAAACCTTTCATGGATGTTGAAGAGGCACTGGAAGGGTGTTGCCAAGCACTATGCTAGAGAAAGGGCAAACCAATGGGCTCTGAGTTCCCAACAAGCAGCATTGGGGGTAAGGATTGGCTTGTGGTAAAGATGTGTCATCAGAATCCAGGCGGACCCGTTCACAATCCACGTTTCCCCCAGCCCATTCTCTCCTGAGCGGCTGGGCAGAAAAACTACACCATGACCAGATTTCACTATCTAGAGGTAGTGAAAGGAGAGGGTTATTCATAGGTTATTGCACATGAACCAAGCCAGGGCTTTAAACCAAAAAGGATTCCAAAGGCTCATCACGGACTGCAAAGAAACCATAAAAGCCAGGCTAAAACAACATTAAAATGACCATCATCCTCATCACAGTGCATCTCAGCACCTAAACTTCAGACCCCAAACTCCTTCCTCAATCCCTGAGTGAATGCAAGCCAGAACCAAGCACTGCTCCTGCCCTGGCCCATTCTCATCATTTGGGGCTGGAGAAGAGCAATGAGACCTGAGCGAATTTCCTTGGGGGAAAAATCCATGTGCACTAACCCAGCCCGTCTAGTTCTGCGAAAGCCTCTTCAGTTTTTTAAATGAGTTATTAGCATGAAAAGAAAAACAGAAAGAGGGAGCGTGGGGGACTGGAGAGGGAAGAAAGGGGGGAAAGGAGCTCATTTAACTTTTTATTTTACTGTTGTTTGTAATAGAAATCACAGTCCCTGATGCAAATAGGCCAGATTTAAAAACAATCCACTGCGCATCAAGAATCCGACACGACATCTCTCAAGGATGGAGGCCAGTCTGGGTTTCTTGTTCTTCGAGCTGCAGTGCTGAAGACTCATTCCCAGCCTCATTTTGCCAAGCGAACCATTCTGCCAGGCTAACAGCCATCTATATAAACAAGCAAAGCTGCTATGTACGCACCAGTCTAGCTTTCCCCCTGCCTGAAACCACTGGCGGAAATTGCACCTTGTGCTGTCGACACTAGGGGCTTGCACCAGTGTCACTGTGGTAGTAGTAGAAATCAGAGCACATTAGACAAGGCTTACATTGTAGCCTATTTTCTTTATAACTAACCAGGTGGCTTCCTTCCCCCATTCTCAGTTGTCAGCAACTAATTTTCATTCCTCACTTTTGATAATACTTGGAAGGTACATAAAACTGACTATTAAATCCCCTTTGTCAAGTTGGATAGGATTATTTTTCATTCTCCAAATGGGGAAACCGAGGCAGAGCTGCACTATGACTTGCTCATGTTTATACACTGCCAGAGATGGAACAGAATACAGGCTGTTTTTAAATCTGGAGCCCTCCCCACTCTACCACATATCACACCACCACATTTTCCTCGTCTGGAAAATGGTAGGGAACCTCCAAAGACTCCAATCAAGCCCATTCCTTGGGCAGCGGAGGCACATAACATTGTATTAATTCATCTTTTTTAACTTTATGTTTTGGCATCATTTGCCCACAAGGTAGGCCTGGGAGACTAACTACAATTGCAACAGGAAGACAGCAGAGCAGATGGTAAGGCTGGGCACTGCAGTGGGTAGGCCTAGCACCAGTTAAAGAAGGCAGGGGGCCATTTCAGAGATGTGTCCAGTGTGGTTTTAAGTTTCTTTCAACTTTTCTGGTTCAACTTGCCACTTGCCACCTTCAGACTCTGAGAACAACAGCATCATCTATAGGCTGGGTTAGGAGCAAATGCACATAACATGACTGGCTGACCCACAGATGACTGGGTCAGTGATCCAACACAACAACAACAACAAAAAGATAATGAAAGAAAATTTTGCATCTAAATATCCCAGGTACTCCATAGCAGTGGCCAGGATGATTAGCCACATTTTACAGTGGGGAAACTGAGGCATGGAGAAGTGCTGTGACTTGCCCATAGTCACTTAGCATCCAAAGGTAACTCACATCTCCTCCTTGCCACTCCTGCACATGAACGGCAAACGGATGTTCAGTGTTGTGATAAAAAACACTGGATCAAGACAAGGAGAGACTCAACCGAATGAGGCTGATTTACATCTGCAGAGGATCCAGTCTTGGTCTGAGATTCTCCAAAATGACTTTTACATCATTAATTGTTTTAAGGCTCTCTGAGCTGGTGTTTTTGTACCCTGAGGCAGCTGACTTGGGAGCGCAAGTTTGGGGTTGTGAGTAAAGCAAGGGTCAGAAAACTCAATTCATGTTCTCCCTTCTCCTCATGTATGACCATGGGCAAGTTACTTAGGCCAGGTCTATAGTACATGAGAAAGTCAACGTAAGATACCCAACTCCAGCCATGAGAATAATGTAGCTGGAATCAATATACGTGAATTCAAATTTCTGCGGTGGCCTCTCTCTGGAAGGTCAATGGAAGAAACTCTCCCATTGACTTCCCTTACTCATTGCAATCTTGTGGAGTACCAGGGTCAATGGAGGGGCCATCAGGAGTTGATTTAGTGGGTCCTTACTAGACTTGCTAAATTGAACCCTGGAAGATTGATTTCCAGAGTGTCAATCTCAGGTTAAGTGCAGACCTGGCCTAAGTCTCTACAAAATGGGGATAATGATAGTTCTTTACTTTTTTGGGGGTGGGTTGTGAGGATTAATACCTCATAGGCCCCTTCAATACTAATGGGAAAGGGGGCCATTTAAGTTTAATAGGTACTTCCCCCATTGTACAGCACAGCCATGAGAGGAGTTAAGCACAACAGCCAGTCATGCTGGTTTTGCTGTGAAAAACTGCTCACTTGTGTTCTTGCTCAAGCCGTGCGAGTTTCCACCTCTCTAAAAACCAAAACAATGAAATCTGCCCCATTTTTTTTCACAAAAAGTTGTGCGACGTGAAGAAACCACAGCATCCTGACAGCTTCTAGCTTCAGACTCTAAAGCTGAACGTGTTTAGAACAAAATGGAAAAGGCAAAGCCAGGGAACTCATCCAGAGACTCGAGTTTCTGCAAAAACAACAGTGTTCCCAGGACCTGACGCCCAGTGGCTCGAAGAGATTCTACAGAACTCTGGCCAGACGGTTAGTTATGCAGAGTTGTTATCTGTCATAAAGCGATTTGGACACTCAAATGCTCCAAGGTATGGAGTTTCATTTGAAAATATGAGGCCAGGTCCTCTCCTGGTGTAAATCAGCAGCTGACTTCAGCTAAACTAGGCCAGTTTATGCCAGCTGAAGTAAATTACGCCAGCCTGATGTCTGTTTTAGACTTAAAAGGCCCATTTGAACAACGGCCCTGTGACAAACGTGTATTCAGTACAAAATGGAATTAAAGAGCACGAAATAAATC